GTCGGTCGTATTTGGCTCCGATGTTCCTCGAGCACTTAGGTCTTCGAGCCTCTTATTCTACCTTCGAACTCGAGCTATATCAAACTTTTGTCCTCGATGCAACTTCTCGAGCCTACAAAATCGAAGGCATATGATTTTGATCGTATGCATGAATAATTCGAGCCAGTTAAAAGATGCATCGATCAAATTAATAATTTATTAGAAGCTGATCTGTAATTATTTTGGGCACCACAAGTGCAATCATAGGTGTAAATTAAACGAAGATAATTAACCTTTGTTAATAGTTCTCCAATTCTTCAAAATACATTAAAGAGATAGTTTCATTAACAGGTTTTCTTAAAAGATCGTAACCTCCACTTCTCCAATTCTTCAAAATACATGAAATTTACACAAATGAAAGCTCTAAATATTGCTTATTCATTAATTGCTATGCACCATGTAACTATATTAGTATCACATATGTTCTTAAAAAGTATGACAAAGAAAGAAAAAATTTCAGTAAAACAAACCGAAGCTATATCAATGGTTCATCAGCCTCAGTGCCGGCCCAAGGGTAAAGCTGCTAAAGCAACTACTTTGGGCCTCATAATTTTTAGGGTCCCAAATTTTTCTAATAGGTTATATATTAATTTATTTTTAAAAGAATATTTTTAAATGACAATGTACAGATTTTCATACTAAAAAAGTAAGACTAAATCGTTGATCAAAAATTAAGAAAAAAATATCTTTCAGGAAATCACTCTCTGGACCATAAATTGAGAATAAATTTTGTAAGATAGTTTGTTATTTCACATGTTGGGAAGTGGGTTGTTCCGCATCGGAAGAGAGAAGGCATTTTTGAAGCTTTTTAAGCACTTGTCCATTTTATGTCTTTGATTTAGGACACATACTTTTAAGTATGTGCAATTAAGTATCCTAAAATTAATTATTTTATTTTTGTGACAGAAAAAAAAATCAAATTTATTTGAATTTTAAATTCAAAATTCGAATAAATAATTGTGTCTGTTATGAAAGGGTCCAACCGAATATGTCTGTTTGTGAAACAAGACATCTTTTCTGAAAAGATCTATTGGTTGCCTATAAATACACAAGAATTTCCAACGAAGTGGCATAGAAAAATCACAAGTATTATTTCAGGCTTTGTTGTATCCTGAAGAGAATCGCTTTGTATTTCCCTAAATTAGTATACATGCGATAACTCTTTAAAGACAGTCGATTTTCACGCCTCAAAGCCATTTTTTGTTTATTATTTTCTAACAAATTTTTGGCTAACAATAAAAACCTTAAATTAGAAAGTATATCTCAAGAGAAATTAAATGAATTACATTAAATTATTAATAACTCTGCATAAGAAAAACTAGAAATATAGAATTTAAATGAAATTTTATATAAAAAATTCTTTTATATATAAAAAAAATAAGGCCTCTCACTGAAGTTTTGTTTTAGGCCTCCATGTTTATTGAGCCGATGGAAATCATATTTAAAAAACCACACAAACAAACAAAGATGATTTGAGAATAAAAAAATCCTGATAAAAAAAAGGTAAAAAACTTGGGGTTGTATGTTAGTAGAATCTAATTATTAGGTGGAAGGACGAATGGCATGCATGGTTCTAATTCTACTGTACACAAAAAAGAACACGAGAAAATTCACACTACTAAAAACAAGTGCAAGTTTTGTCCATTGATGAGAGTAAAAAAAGAAATCCCCGTGGAGTTCGTGAAACCTAGTTTTAGAAGCTGCCTATAAAAGATCATACTCTTGTACTACGTACTACTTAACAAATACAACAGTTAACTCAAAGCATATAAATTTTAAGAAAATATGGAACGAGGCCAACACTCAAATCAGTGTAGGATCACTCGTTCATCAAATTCAGGTAACCACATAATTAATTTCTTGTTACATCAGTTTGTCCACGCTTTAACAATTTTGCATACTAGATGAAAAGAAAAAAGTTAGAGTTTTGCATGAGGGAGCAGTTTTCTTGAATTTCTCATGATTGAATCATCTGAGTAAATAGAAAATGAGAAACTTTTTCTGTTTCTGTTTCTGCTTCTCTTTTTTTTTGTTGTTGTTGTGGGGGGAAGGGGGCACTTAATTTTCTTGTTTTCTGCAGTAAAACTTTTGAACATCAGCTGTATGAGGGAGCCTTTGATAATTTTGCATGACCAACAAAACAAAGAAAAAATATCTGAATTTTGCATGAATATTTTTTCTTCATACATATGTATGAATTCGATGGCTATATATGTAGATTAACCATGAACCGTGATACATTATTTCGTGATGAGTTGTCCATGTTGTCATACAATCTGAATGACGAAACCATCAAAAAGGAACTTGTACTCTCTTTTTTTCATGAAATGTACATTTGGCTAAAAACACCTTTTAATTATTGTCCAAACCTAAGGTACATCCATCTCTTACCTTTGCGAATCAAAATATCCTTATACTATCCAACTAATTGTAACATTCATCCTTCCCGTTAACTTCTGTCAAAAAATTAACGCCGCCCACAAAAAATGTGACAAGCACGTGACTTACCCCTACGCCTTCAGCGAAGCAAATCGATGCTTCAAAAACTGAATTTTCTTTCATACTTGAAGGCCTAGATCTTTTGGGAATAGAAATCATCCGCTTCAACTCTTCTATACCCAAGGGCATATTTAGTATAGAGGTAATGGGTTCATTTGAACTCATAGCTTTCGTTTGTACACTATATTTTTGCTAAAAGAATCATTAAATACGTATAGATAATAAATTTTAAATCCACTAAATTAAATAGAATGTGATAGAATTCCGAATTTAAACCCATAAAATTCAAATCTCGAGTTCGTCTCTATCTACACCAATACCAACTTAAAGAGCTCCTATGATTTTTGAGCTCCTATGATTTTTGACGAAATTTATATTCCTACGTTGTCATTGCGCCTCACAAGACATGGTAGAAGTCCATAAGCTTTTCTCTTCTTTCTTGTTCCTGGAGTGTTGTAATTGGTCAATGTGTTTGACTTCTGTTCTCGTCATCTTCGTCATTTGTTAAAAATTACCAAGATTTGCTAGGTCAGTGTTCAGATGTCCCTTACCTGTTTGTTGAAATGTCAGAAAGATTTGCTTATTTTGTTTCTTTTCTCACATTGGGTTCTGGTAGTTCCGATGTGGCACTCATTTTACAATACGTAAAGAAATATCAAGACACTAGCTAGATTCTAATGAAATCTAAGTAGGATTAAGCTTGCTTTCTTCCGAAGTTGAGTATCCTAGATTAGAGAGACACATTCTCTACTGATACTGAGATTCTCATGCGAATTGATACCAATGGTAGGTTGAATCACTTGGTGAATTTGTTAGTTTTTCAATTACTTTTTGTTAGTTTGAGCAGTAATGGTATATAACTACATATTTTGTACCAAAAGAAAATATTTAGCATGTTAATCTGTTAGGGGAAACTCACGTGCTTGTCATATTTTATTGTGGGTGGCGTTAGTGTTTTGACAGAAGTTAACGGGAGGGATGGATCTTGCAACTAGTTGGATGGTACAAGGATGTTTTTATTGGTTGAGGTAAGAGAAGGATGTACCTTAGGTTTGGGTAATAGTTGAGGGATATTGTTAGCCAAAAACTCCCCGTTGGACATAGATTTTAGCTACCTTTTTCATAATTTTTTTGAAAACATTGTTTGTTCCCAGAATTTGATCAGTATTTGAAAAAAAATTAAAGAAATTTTTTCAACTTCCAAAAAGTGGTTTGGACCAGTTTTAGGGTGAAATTTTTTGTCACTCACAAAAGATCAAAAAAAAATTTCAAGAAAATACATATCCTCATCTTTCAAAAAAGCTTTTTTTTTTAAGTTTCAACCAAATATATGCACAAACGCTAGCTAAATATTACAAAGTCTTCAAATTTTATGTGTTAGATAAATTAATTTCTTTCATGTCCTACAATTTCCATTGTCAAGCTGCAACTTATGTGTCAGGTTTTGTCTGCCTTTTGGGCTAAAGTCTTTGCTTCTTTTTCTTTTCTTCGTCCTCTTCTTATCGAGAAAAACCGTCGTTAGCACTAAATTTTGGCCTTTACGTACTCTTGAAAAAAAGGGTAAAAGACAAATGGAGAAATAAAGATTCTCTACTTCTATATTGTCATTACATTAGTTATTGATCGACTATGAATCAAAATGGTTTCCTAGCTAGTATTTCCAGGGTTGGTATTTAGTTGCACTTCTACATTAAATCATTACCAATATATATGGAATTCCTATCATATCTAGTATTGATTCCTGTTATTACCCTACTATATAAGTGAACTATATATTTTATTTGTATTTTCAGCAACTTACTCATGCATCGATATTTAAATTGTTTCTATTTTTATAGTATCTTAACTTATATAGTCGAGATTCTTTTCCGTACTTTATTAACTTGTATGGTCGAAGTTCTTACTTCACGTCAACTCTCACGTGTTCAATTATCTATATATCTTATATCAATTGGTATCACGCGCTATCTTCAAGCGAGTGTACGCGCGCTACCTTCAAGATATTGTTTTGTGCTCATATCGATTAATGGACAGCAATTTTTATATTCTTTTGTCGCAAATTTTAACCATATCCCTCTGCCATTATTTCTCTTTCTATATTTAAACAATCTTCCAATCAACAACAGAATTAAACATATTTTAAGCTTTTATCGTTTAAAACCAAAACTGCTTGGTCAATATAAGATATAGTAGTTGTTAACTAAAATGGTCTATCAACACAAGCAACTTTGATATTTCATAAAATTATAGTTACTAGAATATAGATCATGAGGTGTTACATCTGTGGCAGATTCAGAATTTAAAATTAGTGTGTTATGTTCTTTATATATACTATACTTATTTTTATTGTTTTTCGCATATATATATATATATATAACAACAATGGCAATGGCACAGAAGCCAGGCAACAAGCGAAGCGCGAACGGGATCTGCACCTCCCCATCGCGAACGTGACAAGAATCATGCGGCGGATTCTTCCACAACATGCAAAAGTCTCAGACGATGCTAAAGAGGCGATCCAAGAATTGGTGTCCGAATTCATCAACCACATCACTAACTTAGCTAACGAACGTTGCCATAGGGAACAACGCAGGACTGTGACAGCTGAGGATGTCATTTGGGCCATGAACAAAATTGGGCTGACCAACTACGTTGGGCCTCTCACCTTATACCTCCAGAAACATCGTGAACAAGAAGCCTCGGGCCAACGGATCAGGCCCAATACTGTGAGGCCCAATGTGGAACTTGGGCTGGCACGGCGTACTGGGTCAGCCCAAGTTTTGCCGATTAACTATGCACCTGGGCCGGGTTATTCGTACCCGCACTTCCCACCCACTGGAGTGTTTTATGATCCAGCAGTTCATGTAATGATGAATGGGTTTAATGACATGATTAATTACATGAGGAGTGAAGAAGAGATAGGGGAGAATGATGGGCCAGCTGAGTCATCATCTTCAACTGCTACTAACTATGGTGTACCAGCTGGGGTTAATGATCCAAACGGACACCTCAAACAGTGAACTCATACCTGGAGGCTGGAGTCAATAATGCTTTGTTTTATCTTTTAAACTTTATGTCTTTTAGTTAATTTTGCTTTTGTAATTTTATGGTGTGTTGTGTGCTATTAATTAAGTTTCCTTGTTAAGAACTCTATGTTAATGTACTAGCTATCTGTTTAAGAAATGCGCTTATAAACTCGTCGATCTCCTCATCTTTGAACCTGGACGTGAAGATTATTAAATGGTTTCATGATACTAATATATAGCCCTGATTCCTCTCTTTTTTTCTTTCTTTCTTTCATTTCATGAAACTCAGGGGTATACAGGGACCTTACTTGGTGTTAGGCTTAATACAGGGACCTTACAGGGATCTTCAGAAAAGATTTCATCATAAATGAACATATATAGAGGACAACTGGAATGAGCAAATGTTCATCCTCATCTCGTCCTTGAAGGAAGGACAAAGACTAGATCGTTCTGCTCTAGCAGCAAGGGACAGAGCCTCGCTGCTAAGATCACAGCTCAAAGAAATGAACAACTCTTGGACAGGTATCAACAATTATTTAAGAAAACAAGCTCCTGAGAGGAGGAGCTTCTGATTCAGTTGTTAGAACATTGCCCTCTATAAAGGTTATGTTGTTTCATATAATCAATTACTTCATCGGCTGTCAAGTACTTCACTGATAACCCTTTCGAGATGCAGTCCCTGACATGAGAATCAAAAGAAAGTTTGTCCAACAATTTATCCTGATTCAATTCATATCCTCCTAGCTAGTCATATTGAGAATTTTTACCTTAATCCCGTTGAACTGATTCCATTAGGCACTACTTCATCCACGATTCTGATATTTTTCTGCAAAATTAAATGTTACAGAACACAATATATTACATGCCTCCTCGACCAGTAACCTCGCGTTCTCTTTTATTTGGGAAAGAAGGAGGGGAAGGGGATGAAGCTGTCTCTGAATTATGGCATTATAACATCTCAATAATGTCTACTACCAGTGGCAACCCCATACAACAGCCAATCATCCCAGTTAATGAGCTTAAAGAGAACAAGGGACAAAGGTTTTGAGTTCTTAATGAAGTTACCTTATATTCATTCAAAATATCATCACCGGCAATGACCTTTTCAACATCCTGACCACCTCTCCGAACACAAACCAAGCCAAAGTCTCTACATATGGTCCTGACCTATAAAATCAACAAATGAGCATATCCTATTTCTTCTGCACAGCACTTCTAAGAGCATAACTTCAATCCAACATTAAGGAGGAAGTATTTCGCTTCTGATAAACCCCTTTAAATGAAGTTACCTGCTCAGGTATCCAAACTCCAGGTGTGCTGAAAGATTCTAGTAGATCAGAACCACACACAAGCATGACCATGAGGTCTTCTGCAAGAAAAAAAAAACACTATTAGAACTTGCATGGAAGTTCGTAAGCTACAATAGAATTAAACGAAAATTTCACTTGGATAAATAATACTAGTTTACAATGTGAACTAGCCAACTATTCCCTGCCTTACAGATAGAATAGCATGTTCGTTTTTGCATGGTTTCTTATGGTTGCACAAGGACTAAGTAATAGTTTATTAGGTAGTAACTAGCATGTGCATCGATTTACGAGAAGTGGGAATGTGGGACAAAAAGTTAGCTGATGGACTATGGTTGCTCAATTAACCTGTAAAAGTAGGAGTAACTGGACTTGCCATTATATACAAGTGATAAAATATAAATTCTACGAAGTGAACATCAAATTGACAGAACCAAATGGAGAATATGACATTTGACTTGAAGCAAAGAAAGTACACATATTTTCACAACAAAGCTACCTCCACAGGAGAAATGTACTGCACAGTGATCTATTAACTAAATGCTCAGACAAAGATAGAGTAAAGCTTCAATACCTAAAGCACATTCTCTTTGAGTTTGGTTCAATTTCATTCTTCATTTTTTTTATATTTGTTTGGTTGGGAAAATAGTATCATCTGACTTTTCCTCAACTATAACCTGGTAAAAAACAAAATATAATACTAAGCATGTCGCTGTCCCTAAGTTCTGAGCACTATTGCCAGCTAATCTACTACTACAATAATCTTTACTCCATCCTTGAACCAACTACCAAAATCATCCAAGGGGAATTGCGAGCAAGAACATGGAGATGAAAGCCCGGCAGTTGGTGGACAAGGAATATCTGCAAATATGAGATGCAACTGAAACAAACTCTTCTAAGTAAAGCCAGGGTGCTAAGAAATTGGAAACACATATGGAAAGTAAAAGTGCCTTATAAAGAGGCATGTTTTACCTGGTTGGTAATTAGGGAGGCTGTCCTCACTCAGGATAATCTAAGGAAGAGGGGTTTCAAGATGTTATTTGTGTGGGAATGATGCTGAGACAATCAGCCATCTGTTTCTTCATTGTAGAGTGACCAGCCAATTATGGGATTTGTTCATTAATCTCAGAGGTGCTAGATGGGTAATGCCAGGGAGAACCTCTGAACTTTTATTATGCTGGAACACAGAGGTAGACTTTACCACAGACAAAAACAGATGGAAAATTGTCGGAACCTGAGATGCTTTGAAGATACAACCAACTCTCTACAAAAGATTAAGATGAAGTGTATTCTTCTTTTTTGTTTTTGGTGTAAATCAGAATATGTAGAGGATCCTGATTCAATCCTAGATGTTTTGAGTTCCTTGTAAGAAGACCGGACTATATTTTTGCTTTTTCATATTGTAATTGCCTATTTTGGCTTCCAGCACAAAGTTTGTGCCGATGACTTTTTGAATATACTGGACACTTTACCTTCTCAAAAAAAAATGTTAGAGTTTGATGATTTGACACCACATACAGGAAATTTACCAACATGTTGTATGCTGGATAAGATGGAGGTGTCAACAATGAGTTCTACCATTTTCTGTAAGTTTACACAAATGGCCCTCATAAACCAAAATTTTCTGGGTAGAGGAATAAAGTAATATTTGCTCTTTTTTTCCTTTTATTGGGGCCAGGTTGGGAAGGGAGTAGATAAATATTCTTTCACTAAAGAAAGAAGAGAGAAGTGAAAAAAGAAGTGAGGATTCATATCGTGGACCCTAACTTGTTTGGGACTGAAGCTTAGTTGTAGTAGTTGTTGTTGTAATACACGCCTACACTGTCTCAAAAGTATGTACAATGTAGTAGTAAAGAAAAGGATTTTTTATTTACAAAAATGAAAAGCTAGTTTCGGTAGGACTGGAAAGTTTCTCCTGTAACCAATTGACCATCAGACTAAATTCCTATGAATACTCTGCAGTCTGCAACACACACTTACTGATGTCAATAATGGACCTTACCACTGGATGCCAAACTTCCATCACAGAGAGCGGACTTTATTCTGGAGAGAACTGTCAATGTTCGTTGATAGCTATCCTGGCTTGCTTGTATAATTATTTTAAGCAAAATTAATTGATAGGATGAAGGTAATTTAGTTTGTATCAGCTGAGGCACTGGTGTAAAATGCAGCAAATAACTAGGGAGGTTTTTGGGTTGTTTTTTTTTGTTGGAGGAGAGAGAGTGAGAGAGAGACCTCCCATGGATCTGTCATAACGAATTCTGAGCTTTTACAAGCTAATTGGCACATTGCAACACGATGCTCAGCAGACATAAGATCCTGCAAAGATAAGGAGGCAAGGCATTAGCAATACCGCTTTTTTGTGCATTAGTAACATTGACAGCAGAAGCAGAGCATGTTCAATCTTTTATATATAGTAGACCAGCAAAAGTGTTAAACAGAGCAAGAAACTACACCTCATGACTAAGAACAGCGCGTGTTAGCATAACATTGTGTCAGGTTGCAGACCACAAACAATATACACTCGTTCATAATGCAACAGCGTGATGATCAGAAGCAAGTTATAATATAGCAAAGCTACTATTGTTCCTTTTTCTTATCTCTATTCCAGTTACACATTTCAAAGCAGTTTCACTACCTGGAGATATGCTACATACCTTCTTCTTATATGCATCATTTACTGGTGACATATAACCTCCAATTACGCAGAGCCCTTCTGAAGTTAATGCATCTCTTGCCAACTCTGAATCAATATTGTCAAAAGTTCAGAAAACCCCACTAAATAGATTAAATGAACTTCATAGTCTAACATCATATTCATTTTGAGCAGCTTATGTGGTTGAGGACTTATGACTACTTAGTTTTTCACATTCATCTGAATANTAAGTAGGAGGATTGAAACTTCCTGTGGATACAAGAACTACATATGTCCTTTTCCTAGAAGCAAGAGAGAGAGTTAGCAACAAGGCGGATCCAAAATTTATTTTAAAATAGTTTTAGCAGTGAACTCGTTGTACTTTTGATATTATGGGTTCAGATATTAAACTTGATGGAATTCTAGTGATACTTCACGTATAAAATTTAAACTATGTGTCGAAAATAATGGGTTCAATTGAAGCCACAACATGAAGGATGCATCCGCCTCTAATTAGCATGTTCCTGTAGAATATATACTGAATAAGAGGAAGTAGGGTGAAGAAGAAATAGTAAAATAAAGTACATCAAATCCAGGTACGCCGGCAAGTAGGTATATTCACATCTTGCTTTTTTTGCTTTTCTGCATTAATAAGTCACCACAGAATTTTTCAACACTACTGCAGTTGAGAGAGCTGCCACATCGGAAAGTGGACTTGGATACTACTCAATTTTACTTCCATTATAAAGCTTGTCCATTTCATGGTGATTGACCCATGCCCCTTTCAAACATAAATTACATTTGATTACTGAAAATGATGTCAGACTATCATAAACAAGCACATTTCATGACAATTGCAGCTGCAATGGAAGAGTGAGTAGTAAATAGGCAACTATAAAACAAGTCAGCCAACATTGAAGCTTGATGTGATACTCTACTAGATATTAATTAAATCAGAAACTAAAAATTAGTGTTGAGTTAGTCAAAGATCATATACTAAACTTACTTCCTTTCAGGACTTGACTGCTCCTCCTCTTGTTTTATTAAATCTAAAGACAACTTATCCCATGGTAAAGCAATATCAGTCATACCTATGAATTCAAACAGAACGTTAGCACCAAAAAAGGGGAAGAAGAAAAATAAGCATAAGCACAACCAACAAATGGTGACTCACATCTGCTAGCATACTTTAAGAAAAAGCATATCAAAGAACAAGTAGAATATGATTTTTCCAAATTAAACTAGTCCAACCCAATCTATGTTCAAGTTTTCTTTCTTTTTCTTATCAATGATTAGAACAGCTACTTTATACAGAAATCAAATCTTCTTTTTATTTTTCCCTTTAGTGATCAAGAATACTGAAATTAATTCAAGACGATAGATTTGGGGAGGTCGGATCAAAAACAAAATTGACAAATAAAAAGAAAACACGACTATATCAGAGTAACAAAACCACCTAAGTAAAACTCTGGAGTATTCTTAATCAGCATAGATGAAAGGTCATAAAAGTTATATTATGAATATTGATAGGGCATCACTGCCTTTTAGATGCTCGCTAATAATAAAGGGACTACCTGTTACATGAATACCTTTGGGTGTTTTTGGTATGACGAATGTCATTTTTGAAAATATTTTCTATGACGAAGTCATTATCTGGTGTTTGGTTACCATAAGAAAACACTTTCCATCAAAATGGACATGGAGAAAATGACTTCCATAACTTATGAGCGGAAGTTATTCTCCATAGAACTATCTTGACTTTTAAATTTATATTACTTGCCCAAACTAACACTTAAGACATCTATATTTACTAGATAAGTTTTGGCCCGTGCTAATCTTGTAAAACCGAACGGTAATTTAATATTACTATCTTTGTCGTAACATGCAATTGCAGAATGAAGAGATTGAAACATGTAAATAAGTAATATCAAACCAAATATACATAGCATAGCCAACTAACTGTTTCATATTTACATGCATTTATGGACAATGTTTCCGTTGTACAAAGGTTAATAAAACATCTACTGCAGTGGTTGCAGAACAATGCGTAAAATGACACATTCTTTATATCCTTTACACTAATCTATTTACATATGTACTATTTACATATTAACAATATGTAATGCAACTAAACTACAATGTTGCAATTAGTCTCCAAGTTTTGCAGGATATGACAATAATATTGGCACCTGTAGAAATCATTTCTTCGCATTAACCCAACTCAATTCTTGTCACATAATGTAGCCAGGGTGGGGAACTTGCAGCAAACAACCAATATAGAATTTGGTAAAGTTGAGAAGAAAAACGTCGTGTTATGCAGTAAAATTACCATGTAAGTCAAAATTTGCAAAAGGTAAGAAATGAAAATAAAATGTCAAAAGCTGGTCAAATAACTTACCGGTGACGTGTGCTTTGGCCGGTTAAGTAAAGATTAGAAAAATAGTGTGGAAGATAAAAGATTGATCGCGTTTCAAGTATTCGCCTTACAGCCTTAGTTTGGTCAGCAACAGCTTAAAATATTACATCTTAATAAGTTATATATTTTCTTTGATCAGTTAAAAAGTTGCATGTTCTGGAGGATACCTAAAAGAAACCAAGAGCAGAGATCTCTAATAAAGAGGATGCCCATATGATAATCTGGACTAGTGTGTAGGATCTAGTAAAAATTACAATATCAGTTTAGCATAGTTTCTTCCAAGTCAGAAAAGAAAGAAAAGATGGGAGGGCCTCTGGACAAGAAATTTCTCATCAAGCAGCTTCATAGAGGATAGCGAACTGGAAGTAAAATTTATTATTCTCTGAAATTATTCATTCAACGATTATACATCGACATATTTTTATCTATAATTAATATTCTCAGAATCAGTACACTACTCAATGAATAAATTGATTAATAAAGTTTTAATAATAAAATAATAAAAAATAATAGTAGTACAACATTCGCTTTACTTAAAGTGTAAGAAAGTTACTTTACGAAAAGTTTAATCATTTACCGTTTAGTATAAGTATCGATTCGTGTCATGCAAATGATTAAGCATTTGACAGTCTGGCCATAACATCAAACCAAACTCTCTAAAGCTTGCACCTTATTCTCTTCAAGTCATAACATCATACCAAACTCTCTAAAGTTTGCACCTTATTCTCTTCAAGTCAACTACTGTTAAACTCAAGAAAAATTGACCTTAACATAACGTAAGCAATTGAAGATCCAAAGAATACTAAAGACTAAAGTTTGGGGCAAGGGGCGAAAAGAAGACATGGGAAATAATTTTTTTTTAAAAAGAGTGCTAACACCTATTTGTTTTTTTATAACCAAGTATATGATCAAAAATAAAATACTTTTTTTTGCAGTTATAACAAAAATACTCTATTAATGAGTAACTTCATTATAGTTTCTCCTATACCCCATTTTGAAAAATGCAGATAAATTGAAGATCTAGTCGAGATATTCAAGATGAGTTTATGGTAGCATGAATCATCAAATAATGAAACTCCTAGGTTTTTAGTCATTTGGTTCGTGGTCCTATGAATCCTTTTGAAAGAAAGTTATATGCACGGTTAAGCTGAAAAAGCTATTCTCTATCCTAGATTAGGATGTAGATAATCATGTCTCAGTCTAACTCAACACTAAGCACAATGTATCATAATTTCATGCAAGTTGTCTGCTCTGGCTAATAATATGACATATACTGGTTCCATATGCACATATCATCAAAATACCTAACTTCTTGATCTGTCATCCACGAACTGCTGATTCCTAACGGCTGCACAGTCACTTTGATGTTCTTGTCCACCTTTAATATAAGACATAATCGTAGATTCTAACTTAAGACCCCTCTTTGTCCTTGTACACATTTAACATGAAAAGATTTTTATTCAGCTAAAATAGCTGCCAAACAGACTTAAAAACACACAAGGATATTACTGATACGGATAGAACTGTCAAAAAAACTATGACATTATCACTGAAATTAAATTTACAAACACAAATCAAAAAGAGAATTTTGAAACTCTAATTCTCCCCTCTCCTCCAAGACAATTACTTTCCTCGTTAAGGAGTATTACATACTTTAGTAAACAAGAAATAAATCAGCTTGGTGTGACCTTATTTTCTCGATTTTAGAAGAGTGCTCTAAACCAACAAGATTGTTTACCAAAGCATATAGAGAGAACTTCTATGCATGTATTCATCTATTTTGGAATAGGATGGGTCTATTTCAAAATTTCACAAAGCCCCCAATTCTTAAGTACCTCATGCCTTTATCTATTGGTTCTATATGGTCTTTAAGACAATGCTTTTAGATTTTGGTGGGTTTTCAGAGTGTTATCATCTTGTGCTAACTTTCATTAAGCTAACATGTTGCAACTTCTTATATGGGGGTATTCTATTTATGGGCCTAGAATTTACTAATTGATGTTGGAGTCGTAGGTTTGACTTACGGTGCATTTCTATCAATGTTTTCATCTTTAGAACGTCACTCACCGCATAGGGGCGGGCTGGATGAAATGGAGGCTTGCATCTGGAGTCTTGTGTGACAAGAAAGTGCCACCGATACTCAAAGGTAAGTTTTATAGAGCGGTGGTTAGACCGGCAATGTTGTATGGGGCAGAGTGTTGGCCGGTTAAGAACTCCCATGTCCAGAGGTTGAAAGTAGCAGAGATGCGGATGTTGAANACTGTTATTGCATGTCATTCATCTTTTGATTTTTATGCTTCTGTTACTATAATGATTTTTACTGAAGTTACAAATGAATTCTTTTTTCTTTTCTTGTTTTCCTTGTTTTTTTCTATTTCCGTCATTCTGAGTCGAGGGTCCATCGGAAACAGCCTCTCTGTCCTACCAGGGCAGGGGTAAGGTCTGCGTACACACTACCCTCCCCAGACCCCACTATGTGGGATTTTACTGGGTAGTTGTTGTTGTTGTTATTGTTTTCATCTTTAGAACAACTTCTGAAACTTCAACTTGTGGAGAATTTATGTTATACTTCAGATAGAGTTGTATAAGCAATCACTGCATCAGAAGAACCCCAAAAGTTTCTAGATTCAGTTAGGTCTAAGTTAGCGTAGGGAGAGGCAGATTTCCAAAGTAATTCGGAATAGATCATGCATCCTTTAGTACTGATCCTTTAAAGTAGTAATTTGGTGGAAACCAAAGATCTTGAGAATCTAATAAATATGCAGAAAGAAATATTGCCACATAAGTAAGAATCATTCAATACATATAACCGCACTTCTACATTATAAAAATAAATTCAATTAAATGACCATCTTTCTCAAAATAGAGTTAAAGAAAAACCCTGTTAGTCATTTTCAGCCCTGAATATTCTTCTAAAGATCGAGGTTTAAAAAGATACTAAACTCAAATTTTAATTTACCTGTTTAACATTGATAATATGGACATACAATATGTAAAATACAAATTGAATTTCATTGGCATATATCACAAACAAAACGACTTAGATGAACATACAATTTACTGTATAACTACATAATCAAACTTTGAGAGAATATATTAGTACCTTCTAATTGATAGTGCATCCGATTATGATTAAGAATACCTGAAAGGAATAACGAATAAATCCTTTATATTAGCAATAAATAAAGCAAAAGAAAGAGAAAAGAACGGCATGCGGACAGAACAATAACACAATCAGCTGTATTTTTACAAAAAGGGCCTAATTTGTTCTAATGCACCACCAAATTCAAGTGTCAGTACTTCCACAAAGTTGAATAAATTTATGCACAAAGAATAGAGAAAAGCATAAATTCCCCAATAAGAAACAAAATTTGAAAAATAAGGGACCGTACGATGATATCAAGCAGCAAAAGAAGAATTATATTCGGCATTCTGTAGACTTTTTTAGCTGATGACAAATTAAACAAATTACAAACTTCAGAAGAAATGAAGGCCGAAGAATACTGAGAAGGGTTAGGCAGAATTTCAGCCATGAAATTGAAAATCTAAAGAAAACTGGAAAACCATTTGGGCAAAAACTAAAAGAAAACATACCCAAGTTAGATAGACCCAATTTTGCAATGATAAAGAGAAGTGAAAGGATAGTATAAACTAATAAAGATTGTCGAAATAAAAGAAAAGTGTAGTCTTGCACCTGTTTTTTTGGAATGAGATTAAAAGATACTTCTAGAGTGTGTTGAGTGTGTTTACAGCAGTCTGTTTCCAATGCACTCTTTTAGGCACCCATAAAAGTAGCAATTTTAATGAAAATATAAAATTACTCTTTTACCCTTGGTCGACCACTTTGCCTCTTCTATATGGAGTAAGTAATAAATATAGAAAACGACAATTCTTCCAAGAGATGTCAGCACCAAGTTGATTTGGCATTAAACGCGTGAGTTTGTGTGAATACTTCAAACTCATCTTCCTTTCTTTTTTCTATTTAAGAGTTCAGAGTCCTAGGTTCCACAGATGCATTTGAAGGAAGAGGAAAGGATGGAGTAAGTCGAAAAGGCACTGATGCATTTGAAGCATTTGCATATATCTTAAACATCATGCTTAATAATGTACTGAAAAGGGATGGATAAGTAGGACACTGGATATATCACATACTTTGTATGCGGATGATACCTATTGTTGTGCAGAGCTGATAAGGAACAAATATTGCATTCAAGAGTTGTGTTGCTGGCTTTTGAAGTTGTCAAAGGCCTGAAGATCAATATGTCCAAAAGTTCAATCTTTCTGTTAATGCTGATCAAGAAATTGGATCCCTGGCAGATTTAATGGGTTGTAAAATTAAGAAGTTTCTAACTAATACTTACTTGGGGATACTATTGGGTGCAAAACCAAAAGATAACAGTGTACGGCAAGGAGTCACTGAGAAATAAGAGAGAAAGCTAGCACCCTGAAACAACAATATTTTCCTAGGAAGGTTGACTTTGGTGAATAGCGTGCTGGATGGGATCCCGACATACTTGATGTCTTTACTCCCAATTCCTATTAAAGTGGAGGAGCAAATTGATAGAATCAGTAGGGAGTTTTTCGTGGACACGGAATGCAAAAAAATAAGCTCCCTCTTGTAAAGATTACGAACCTCGTCGTACTACCATACTTTAGCTCATAATCGTTAACCATTTCCCATATCTACTTATAAAACTGCACTTATCCTTCTATCCATCCTTACTGACATTACTATCTCTTATCTTCCTCTGGAGGACTTCAGGAACACAGTAAGGAAGGAGTGGGGTTAGGAGTGAAGGAGTGAGGAACCTCAAGCTTCACAACAAAAGCTTGCTTTACAAATGGTTATGGAAGTTTAATGATGGCAAAGAAGTAACCTGGAAAAAACTAGTAGATATTAAGAGCCCGTTTGGACATAAGGAAAAAATTTCACATTTTTTCGAAATGTGGTCATAAAATTTACAATTTTTCACTTAAAGATGCATTTTGGAATTTTTTAAAAATTTGAAAAACTCCAAAAAGCTGTTTTTCAAATTTTTCACTCAGATCACTCACAAAACTTCAAAAACAACCCAAAGTTATATTCATGTCCAAACACAACTCTAATTTTCAATTACCATTTTCACTTTGAAATTTTTTTTCACTTTTTTTGGAATTTTACAATTCTTATGTCCAAACGCCCACTAAATATGGAAGAAAGGGGATCTGGGCTCCTAAACCTGTAAAATCAACATATAATTTACAGGGAAATGAATATAGTATAATCAAATCACCTTCGTCTTTCAAAATATAACCCAAGACTCAAACAATTCAAACTTTATGCCCAAAAATTTCCCGAAGAAAAAGGTAATAACTCTGATAAAAAGCTACTTACCTGACAGGAAAATGGCCTTTGACAAGAAGGTCTTTGAGCACAGGAGTTTCTCCAGCAGGTGAAAAGTTCTCTAAAAGATAGTGAATGGGTTTGGCCTTTGGGGGAATCGCACATTAGCTTGATGCTCCCTCTTTTCAACAAGTCTATTATGGCCTTGGCATTTGGACCTCATTTGTTTGCACTTAATGGAGGTCCGAATCTTAATTATTCAGATCTCAGACATTAAGTGTGTCTGTTTTTAAAGTTTGAATCTTAAGTATTCATATCTTAATCATTAAGTGTGTTTGTTTTTTTTATTTCATAACCACTTAATGGGTCTGAATAGGTCTGTATGATTAAGATCTATAACAGAGACTTATT